GGTGTCCAAGGACTGCCAACTATAGCACTAAGAGTAGAATGGAGAAAAGAGCTCACACTGCAGGCAAGGTCAGAGCCTTGCACTACTGGGGTGACAGAGACCTGTCCCCTCTGGGTAGCTCAGTGACCTTTGGTTTAAAGAGGCCTTGAGGTCATACACCTTTATCTCGTGTTTCTGGGGCCACACTTTCCCCCATTCTCTTTTCTTCTCTGCTTGGAGTTGCCCTATGGTAGTCTTGCTTCTGCAGAGCTAGGGGTTTTTCTCTCCTCCTCTAGAGTCTCAAAGGCATAGTCCCAGGGTGGACCAGCCAGTGGGTATGGTGCCTGGTGAATCTCAAATTAAACAAGATGATAGCTAAGCGGGGAGGCTCTCTGCTTGCTTTACTTATGCCCAACTGATCTTGACCCCAGTTGCCATTGGTTATTGTTTCCTAGGAGAAAAAAATTCCTGAAAAAAAATGTAATGAATGCTTTTATAGAGATTGAGAAAGACTTCCTCTTTCTCCCCACCTGAGAAACAAGAAGGAAAAGATGAACCAAGATTAGGGGCAGCACACCGTCTCTTACCATGCCAAGTGGCCTCCCTCTAGGCAGGGCAGCGAATCCATCTACAGGTAGGAAAAGTGAAAAGTTTCTGCACCCCGATAAGCCTCTCCACCGATGCAGCAATCCAAATCAGACAAAATCAAACCAAATTGGAAAAAGCCCACGTCTAATGGATACAATGCTCCCAGATGATATTCCAGCCCCCAACCCCCTAGAGAGGATACAGAAAAGAGAGACCAGAAAACCATCTGTCTGTTCTCTGGGGTGGGGGCAGTTTAAATACCCTGTGGGAGTGGTCTTGAGCATCTGGGGGAGTGTGTTCATTTGGTGGGCTTTCTGAGATACAGTAGGGTTTGGAGAGAGATGCAGGAGGGGGCTTGGGGCGGAACTTCCACCAGAAAGCCCAAGAAATGACTACCTCTCCCCGAGAGATGCTCGAGACCACTCCCACAGGATATTTAAACTAACCCCCAAAGAACAGACAGGTGGTTTTCCAGTCTCTTTTCCATCTCCTCTTTGGGGGGGTGGGGGCTAGAAAATCATCCAGGAACATTGTAACCATTAAAGGTGGGCTTCTTCTAATTTGGTTTGACTTGGACTGATTTGGATTGCTGTATTGGTGGAGAGGATTATCCGGGTGCAGAAATGTTTCTGTTCTGCCTGTCCCATTGCCGTTTAGTCCCAAATAAACACACAGTCTTATATCAATATAAACTGGCCAATGGCTTAGGCTTCTTACTGGTTAGCTCTCTCTTAATTATTAACCCATAGCTATTAATCTATGTATCTCTACGTGGTCTTGGCTTACCAGTGAAGCCCGGGCCTCTTTCTTCCTTGGCAGCTACACAGCATCTCCCTGGCCACTCACTCTCTACCTTCCTCATCTCCCGGCAGTCTCCTAGTCTGACAGCCCTGCCTATACTTCCTGCCTGGCGGCATCCTGTCTATTGGCCGAAACAGTTGTATTCATCAACCAATAAGAGAAACGTGTATTCAGAGCATACAGAGGGACATTCCACCAGCCCAGAAACCTTTCATCTGGAAGTTCCACCTGAGTTGTGAGGCCCCACACCCCCATTCACCCCTAATCCACAACCATGGCAGCCCATGGAGCAACCAGCTGATGTCTTCACCTTTCTCCTTCTCTCATCTGCAGCATGTAGTGTGTCTTGTCCGTGTCTCTCACTCACTCCAACCATCATCCTACAGTCACCACTACTGGCCTAGATTGGACCTGGGGAGCTGGAGGAGTCCAGATATGGAAGTGTCTCTGTCCCAGAGGCTGGTAGCTGTTCTGTGTTTTTTCCCTGGGATAGCCTAGCCCCAACCCCAGGATGCCTTTCCTGGTAACCAGCCTGTTACCATGTGCCCTGATAGTTTGTTCTGTGGGTTTGTGAGCAACTGTGGAAAATGACCCCCGTAGTCACTGCCAGGGCAACACAGAATGCTTTTGTTCTCTGAGTGACTATGGGGCTAACAGACCACATAACATAGACTCTTGGAGTGGGCGTCCAGGTTGCCTATGTGGCCTTGGGCTGGTGATTCAGTATTTTTGTGCTTTAATTCCCTTCTCTTAAAGGCAAACACTAACCTCATAGGGTAGTTGTGCGGCTGAAATGAATGTATGTAGGAGCATAAAGGAATATATTATATATTATATCATTTTCCTTTGTGCTGCCAAAGATAGGATCCAGGCCTTGTGTTCAAGGAAAATCACCCCCCAGTTTCAGTGTGTTTAAAATAGCTCTTTAAAATATTAAGTTAGTTAAACTAGAAAATATGGTAACAAAATAAACGCAGGCCAGAGCATTTATTGTTCTTTCTTGGGAAGGAAAGGGATGTTAGATGAAGAAGTTCTTGATTGGCCAGTTTGGATAACCCCAGGGACCACTGGAGTGTGGGGACTGTCCCAAGTCACCCCTTAGCTGTTCCTAGGGTAACCAGAGCCTGCAAGGGTGAGGGGGCTCTCACTTGAGCAGTCTACATGGAAAAGTACACACTGAGGTAAGCTGTTGACTGTCTGTGGGACTTGTCTAGCCCAGGGGGCGTCTGAAAGGCCACAGATAACATCATGACAAAGGCATGCTTCATCAAAAGGTCCAGGTCGGTTCAACTTCGGGAAGAAATGATGGCTACTTGAGGCAATGGGTGTGTTACTCTGCCTGCATTTGATTCACAGGTATATGTCACATGACCCCATTAATCATCACAATTTGTCATGTTTAAAAACAAAAACAAAAAACAAAACCATGGGCTAGGGGCTAGCTCAGTCATTGAGTATGTACAGGAATGAAGCCTGGGCTTGGATCTCCAGTTCCCATGCCAAAAGCTGGACAAAGTAGCACACACCTCCAATCCCAGCAACAAAGAACTGGAGACAGAAGGATGCTGGGCTTGCCGGCCAGCCAGCCTAGCCAATCGGCAAGTTCCAGGTTCAATGAGAAACCCTGTCTCAAAAATAAGGTGAATATTGAGGAAGTCACCCATTTCACGCCCCCCCACCCCTGTGTGTGCATGTACATGAACATAGAAACATATGCATATGAATTCTCACATACAGCTCAAACTTTTAATTACGGTAAGTAAATAAGACATGCTCCAGCCAGGCATTGGTGGTGCATGCCTTTAATCCCAGCACTCGGGAGGCAGAAAAACAAAAAACAACAAAAAAAAAAAACATGCCAAGTGGATCTCTGTGAG